GGAGAAAGAAGAAACAGGAGTCAACCGTCAATCAGAGGCGAGGCGCCCGCAACCTGCCCCCGCTGCAGCCCGGCGCCAGAGTCCGGATCAAGACAGAAAAGGGCAGCTGGTCGAAGCCCGCCATCGTCACGCAAAGGCTCTCCAGACGCAGCTATCTGGTGGAGCTGGGCGGCTGCCAATATCGCCGCAACCGACGGCACCTGCTGCTGATCCCTCCTGTTCCGTTACAGGTCCCGGCACAGCACGGAACCGGGCAACGGGCAGCACCAGTGCCACCTCCGGTGGTGCCGCCGACATCCGTGGCAGCACCACGCCCGGTGGTGCCGCCACCACCACCACAGCAGCTTCCGCCAGCTGCGCCGTCGCCTGAGCCGGCGACGTCTCCGCTGGCACCCGCTCCGCCTTCAGTGCAGCCCGCTGACGACCCTGTACACGTTAGCCCTCGTAAAACTCGCAGCGGTCGGATTTTCGGGGTTTAAGAAAACCAGCTTTGTGCTTGGAGTAAAGCTTAGCTTTCTATAGTAGATCTTATTAGCAGTCGCGTAAGAGGGGGAGATGTATCGTGGTGGCTGCTGTGGTCACACCCCGCTCTATAGCCTGGAGCCGCCGCTGAGCCGGCGCCGGTATCATATGCAGTCTGGGCTGTGGCCGCCCGGGCCACCGCCGCCCCGCTCGCTGAATACAGTTCTCGGCTGGTACTGGTGGCGTCTGCACCCTGGGGTTCACCAAGCCATAAGCAAGCACACAAACAATCGTAGACCCGTTTTCGTACGGAGAAAAATAGCAGCTAATGTAGGTAAAAAATATATCTATTAGACGGCTTCATCAATATTTTCGACGTCTAACCTGATAGTTTACACCATGGGCTACACGATGGAAGAAAAAACTCATAGCGGAATATATAAATACGCTTCAAAAGTTAAATTTTTTTGGTGCTTTAAAAATTGTAAGTTAATTTTACTGTTATAGATATTCTGGAATGCCGATATAAAAAGTCCCGCTAGGTCCCGCTGTTCTTTTATCAATATGGTGTTTACCAATCAATTGCCTTTCAGAAAATGTATAATTTAGCTGCGTCAGCCTGCGGCAGCGAAAATGAGGGGCATTTTTTTTTACTCCAGGTCGCCGCGGCCGGGAGCCGCGAGTAACAGAACCTCAGGAATCGAACAAGGTTGCCAAGTACCAACTATATTAAAGTTTTGTCCGGACATATCCGTACCTTCTATCGGAGTTTCTGATACACTTTTCTGACCCGTAATAAATTTGTTATATAGTCATGTAGGCCATCAGATTCCCATCTTCACGGTTTTGGTGGCTACATTATTTGCTTATCGGAATTTCCGGTGCCGTCATGACCTGGCCTGACAGGTGCTGCCGTCTTATCACGTGACCGAGCGGAGTCGAGGTCAGGGCAGGTCAACCGATTAATTAATCAATTAATTAAGCAATTAATTAATGATTAATTAATTAAATTAATCAGAAATTGCTTAGAAAGTACACCGATTACCATTTTTATGATTCTACCATCCTTTTCATGTGAAAAGCGGGCACGAAATACGAAACAGTACCGATGTCGCGCTAATTTTCGCTCCGGTCCCATTGTGCAGTGATGTCAATTTCGGAAAATCGTAATACCGATACCAAACCAAATACCAACAGAAACCGTACAGAAATACCGAAACCGAACCGACTTGGAAATATCAAGGAAATACCAACTTCTTACCAAATTCATTTGGTAAAAGATTGTTCAAACACCAGCTTTAAGTTTTTATTGGGAGCTTTCGGAAGCGTTACAGCTTCCTTCGTCAGCCTTGGATAGAATTCTTAAAAAGACAGATAAACACGTAAATACAAAACAATTCAAAATTCAAAAAAACGCCACTTAAACTTAAAGTGGCGCAGATATTCGAGAAAAGCTCGTTTATATATACAATCATATCTTTTAGCAAATTCACAGCCTCTTTAACCCGCGCCCGGCTGGGGGTCCTGGATTTCCACGCCCTGCTGGGGGGGGGGGGTGTTTGAACACCCCCCTTCTAACTCGGCTCCTGGGCCACGTAGCGATACGCGGAAGGCGGCGTTCAAAAGAGCGTCAAAAATAATGAGGAAATCACTTCGGTCATTTTTTTGGTCAGGTCAAAGGTCAGGTCACCAGAGGTCATTGAAGGCAAAATTTCGCCGATTTCCAGGTCGAATGTCGACAATTTCCAAGAAGCCAACGCATAACTCGGGAACCAATAGAGCTACAGCGCCGCGGAAAAGCGCATTCGATAGCCCTATTAACGCCCTGTCTGAGTAATTTTCTCAAATTTGACCTAACGTCAACGGTTTTGCCTGCAGTGGGAAAAACTGCAAAAATAGCCGATTTTTCGGAAACAGTTTTTCTGCAATAACTTTTGACCCAAGCCTTGTACGAGCTTACTTTTACCGGCATCGTGTTCCTGTCGTCAAGACGCATCGAATGAACTATAATTTGACCTTGAAAGGTCAACTTGAAAATTTGACCTCAGGTCAAGGTCATGACCTGACCGGAAAGGGTCATGTTGCATATCAGTCGATCCGTATTGTCGAGCTGAACACATCTAATGCGTTTTCATCGCTCTAGCATGCCTCTATCAAAAGTTATTTGCGAAAAACTATTAGATACCATTCGTGACCTAAGATGACCTCAGGGCATACACAGGGGTCACGGACACCATTTTCATGTTCAGTGTTTCTAAACCACTTGTAATTCAGTGTTTGGGAGTGTTTATAATGTCTTTCGTCCAAAAGAGGCGCATTTCAATTTTCTCCCATTGACTTATAATGGGGAGGTCACAAAATTGACCTGACCTTAGGTCATCGATATCAAAATTCTGAGATATACATTTTGTACATGCTATTACTCTTAGCAATCGCTGAAAGTTTCAAAGCTATCGGTCACTGGGTGTAGCTATGACAGACATTGAAACTTTTTATGAGGTGAGGTCACTTCAAGTGACCTGGTGACCTGACCTTGAATGACCTTGGTCTGAAACTTTCACAACATGTGTAGAATTGATGTATGATAAGGTGTACCAAAAACGGCGGCGCTCCGCGCCGCCGTTTTTTTTAGATATTCGCGAAAAACCACAAGGGGGGGGTGTTCAAACACCCCCCCCCCCAGCAGGGCGCGGGTTAACATTGGCGAGGATTCATAATACCAACAAAATACCAAATTTGTTGGCCTCGAAATATCAAATGCCAAGTTGGTATCGGTTTGGTATCGGTATACCAAAAAGTTGGTATCCGATTGCCATCTCTAGTTCTTAGGACAATAAAAATTGATTCCATCGGCTTCCACTGGCCAAACCCGCTTTCCCTATAGCTCAATCAAGGGATGAATCACTGGGTGGTCCTTTCGACCCCTCCTCATCCTCCTGCAATTAAAGTTAGCCGTTGCAAAGACACTAATTCATGCAGGGGCTCATTTTCACTTGTCCTTTTAATGTAATCGGTGAGTTAAGCCAGCCAAATCCAATGAACAATGAACAAAAATCCATACAAACCCCGGTGCTGCCACGGGCCCACGGCCCTCATCCTTGTCAGCGTCCACTCCCTCGGCGGCGGCGGCGGCGGCCCGCCGTGCCGTGCGCCGCGGCATGTTACCTCCCGCCGCGCTAGGGGCCGCTGGGCGGGACGCTACCCCCCGCTGCGCCAGGCGACCCCCGGGCCTGGACACCGCCGCGCTGCGGCGGAGGACAATAGAGCAAACAAAGGATGGGGCCGCCAGTCAGCCGGCGTAGTGAATGGGTAAATCCTTACTCGATAATACAGCAGGGACTGCTCCTCGAACACGGGCAGGCCGTACGGTAGTAGACATTCGATGGAATAGGCGATTCGGGCGTAGGTCAGCCGGGCGTAGGTCACCCCGGGCGTAGACATTCGATGGAGTAGGCGATTCGGGCGTAGGTCAGCCGGGCGTAGGTCACCTGGGCGTAGACATTCGATGGAGTAGGCGATTCGGGCGTAGGTCAGCCGGGCGTAGACATTCGATGGAGTAGGCGATTCGGGCGTAAGTCAGCCGGGCGTAGGTCAGCCGGGCGTAGACATTCGATGGAGTAGGCGATTCGGGCGTGGGTTAGCCGGGCGTAGGTCAGCCGGACATAGACATTCGATGGAGTAGGCGATTCGGGCGTAGGTCAGCCGGGCGTAGGTCACCCGGGCGTAGACATTCGATGGAATAGGCGATTCGGGCGTAGGTCACCCGGGCGTAGACATTCGATGGAATAGGCGATTCGGGCGTAGGTCACCCGGGCTGATCCCAAAAAAGCATGCGGTGAGCTAAAGTGGCTCTTTTAAAACTATTTTGGCCCTTGTGGCAAAATGTCTTGTTTCTTCCCCACAAAGTTTTCCCCAAAATTGGTGAGAATTAGTACAATATTCACTTTTTAACTTCACATTTGTTTAAATGTTTGCTGATAGAATGCTGATAAAAGAAACTCAAAAAGGAGCCTCATTGTCATAAAAGAAACTCAAAAAGGAGCCTCATTGTCACCAACCTTGTAGAGAATTATGTGACAAAAGAAAATTTGCGTGCCTACCTACTTTCGTCCTATGTATTTTATGCTATACTTACTTCGACATCCGTTCTTCTGTGTACGAACATTTGCGTACGTATTTTTGTCCTGCGTACTTTTGCGATACGTTCTTTGGCCCGCGAATCCAAGAAAACAGCTCAGCTAGCTACGACCAGCGCCATCTACCCGCTGACGTGGCACAGAGGTGTCCTCTGTTTGGCAGTCCGCAACACGGCAGACGAAGTGGATATTGCATAGGTACATAGGTATGTGCGTAAGCTCATGAAGTCACGAAACTATCGAAAGATCGGGTTCGATAAATCAATAACCGGTACAGTAGTGGTTTGTTATTTGTATTCCAGACGGGTTGCTGATGCGTGTGTCAGTTGTGTTTTCCGTGACAGAAAGTGTGTGAACCGTCTAAGGCGCGCTGTGGTGACCTTTGGCGGCCGCTGCGCGCAGGCTGAGGGCGAGGTGTCGGCTCTGGGCCGCCGCATCCAGCTGCTGGAGGAGGACCTGGAGCGCTCCGAGGAGCGGCTCGCCATCGCCACCACCAAGCTGGCCGAGGCCTCCCACTCGGCCGACGAGTCCGAGCGGTACGTATCCTCCTCTCAGCCGCTCAGCCGGTACAGCGGCCAACCAGTCGGGCTGCCCCATAGCCAGGCACGTATCCAGGATTTCGCTCAGGCGGGGGGAGGGGTGTCAGCGGAGCAGGGCCCGAGGTCAGCTAAAATGGGCTACACAGTAGGGTTGTTAAAAAAAAAAACGAATTTTGGAAAAGTATATGGGCTCATGGCTCATGTGGTGCGTTATTCTTTTCCGAGTCCAATGATGCCCTTTTTTCGAAAAGTATTGCTGCTAGGCGCTGCTCAAACCGCTTAAAGAGGACCATGTTACGCCCGCCGACCGGCCGGTGTCAATAAGGGCGAGAACTCGACGCCGCGCACCGGCGGCAGCGCCTTATCGGCACCGCGCGCCACGACATCTGCCGGGCGGCCGGCTGGGCGGTGGGAAGTTATAAGTGCGTGGTCTTAATGCACACGATCGGGGTGCGCTATCCCATGTTTTCGGGGTGGAAAGTTTCAGTGCAGCATCGGTGCGTCTGCCACGGTGGTCTGTGTCGATGGTACAGAAAATAACTCAAACAGAGCTAGAAAAGAGTGAGTGATTCTGGATAGTTGCATCGAAGCAATCCGTTTTAAGAATACAGCTGTCTTCTTAAAGGGACCCTCCCACCTTAACATTATATTTGAGTTGAGATAGCCAAAATGGGGTCCCTGGCTCACAATTACCGGTTTCGGCACTCACAACATCGAGAAATGCCTTAAGTCGGAAATATTGAATTTCAAAATTGCAGCATTTTGATTCAGAGGGGCTAATGCATAGGAATACCCCTCTGAATGTGTGACGTCAGCGCAGATATCTAACGATTTTTAAATGTTTGACTAAAATGTTTTGTAGCACGCGGTGGTATATGCTGCTTTGCGCGCAACAAGTGCCGCACTTTCAGCTGCCAAACTATTGCTTCCAAATAAAGTCGCTAGGGACAGCGGAGATCCCAAAAAGTAAACAAAAGTAAAAGTCTAATATCTTGAAAACCGGTGAATATTTTTCGGTGAAATTTGGTAGATATTCGTTTTCGCTCTTTCTGAACCGAGCGACATCACTTTCATGCCAATTCATCAACTTTTTTGAAGGTAGGAGGGTCCCTTTAACGTACCGTATCACTTGTTAATTCTTCAAAAAGCAAACTCTGAGCAATAACACACCTCTTTGCATTGCTGTTGACAATTTACGTTAGTTTTGGACGGTGGCTCGCACCCCCAATATGCTGCCGCGCAACTTTATTCAAACGGCGAAACGGCAACTTCGCGAGAATCGAAAATTCACGATATACGTACAGCAATGATATAGGTACCTACGTACAGCTGGCAATGCAGTATGCACAAGGACAGAATATGGAGGAGACCCGACAGTCATCGGCCCAAGTTTGGGGGTGGCTTTGACGAGCATAGGCGTCACCGATGTCATTATTCAGAATCGTTGATATCAGATGATGGGGCAACAGAATCGACGCCAGGTTTAACTTAGATTGGCAGGTCGAAAGAAAACATAACATGTCTGGGAATGACAGGGTGGCCACCCTGACAGTGTGACAAAGTGAGACATGAGTAGAGACATTAGCCGGAGTACCTACTCATATAAATCAAGCGCCGTTTATCCAATCCTTCGAGCATAAGCGACGCCGGCAGTCCGGCCTGGGCGGCCGTGCCCACCGATGCCGATCAAGACCCGAATCCAGACCCGGCATAGAACACAGCTCTGCCCTGACGTGACACATTACCCCGGTGTGTCACTCATGACGGATAGACCAATGCAGTAGCCTTGCCAGCTCCTGTTGTACCTACTTCGTTAAATTTTCGATTCTCGCTAAGTTGCCGTTTCGTCGTTGGAATAGAGTTACGCGGCAGCATATTGGAGCTGCTAGCCACCGTCCAAAAGCAACTTAAATTGTCAACAGCAATGCAAAGAAGTCTGATATTGCTCAGAGCTTGCTTTTTGAAGAATTAGCAAGTGATACAGTACGTTAAGAAGGCAGCTGTATTCTTGAAACGGATTGCTTCGAGGCAACTACCCAGAATCACCCACTCTTTTCTAGCTCTGTTTGAGTTATTTTCTGTACCACCGACACAGACCACCGCGGTAGACGTACCGATGCTGCACTGAAACTTTCCGCCCCGAAAACATGGGATAGCGCACCCCGATCGTGTGCAATAAGACCACGCACTTATAACTTCCCACCGCCCAGCCGGCCGCCCGGCAGGTGTCGTGGCGCGCGGTGCCGATAAGGCGCTGCCGCCGGCGCGCGGCGTCGAGTTCTCGCCCTTATTGACACCGGCCGGTCGGCGGGCGTAACATGGTCCTCTTTAACCCTATTCCTGGCGGGGGGGGGGGGGGCCTCAGGAGCCCCCCCCTGAGGTTTTTTGGTTATATCTCCCAAACGCGTTGAGCTAGGAAGCTCAAATTTTCTGACTTTTCCTAAAAGGCTTCTACGCAACATGTCTGAAAATTTTGAGTTGATCTGACCTCAGGTCAGGTCACCAGAGGCGGTTTGGTGACGCTACCTCAGAAAAGTTTGCAATCACGCCAGAGCTAGAGTTTTTGACCAATCAATTTCTTCTCTTCAGGGTTTAGTTAGGGTACCAGTATGTGCAATTTGTATATCTCGGAATTTTGATATCGGTGACCTAAGGTCAGGTCAATTTCGCGACCTCCCCATTATAAGTCAATGGGGGAAAAATCAACTCCCTGTTTTTACCACTAAAACGGGTCGGAATGGCCCCATATACCATACATGACTTCATATACGATCAACCTTCACTACCTTGAGGTCTGTTTTGCTGTTGAGCAGCTGTGAGGTCATGTGACGTCATCAAAGGTCACCAAAGGTTTTTGGCCAATAACTCCGTACAGGAACAAGATACAGACGCGTGGATGGTCTCATTGTGTTCAGCTCGTCAAGACGCATCGAATGATATACATGATGACCTCGAGGTCACGTGACCTGAGGTCAACCTTTGACCTTGACCTTTCGAGGTCAACATATATATCATTCGATGCGGATTGACGAGAGGATCACGATGATGCCCTTAGTTTGTTCCTATCTTGACTAATTCGAAAGTTATTCGAGAAAAACTCTCTCCATATCTAGTGCCGCCATTTTGACTTTTTCGACCCCTGTGACGTCATCTTTGACCTGACCTGAAAATGACCTTAGTAAAAATTGTAGATCTTGGCCGTGCGTATCCGATGCCGTTTACCGCTTGTCGCTATCTTGCTTCGTTCTCGAGATCTCAGGGGGGGGGCCGAATCGGCCCCCCCCCCGCCAGTTTCTTGTCCCGGCGGAGCCCGCCAGGAATAGGGTTAAGCCGTTTGAGCAGCACCTAGCAGTAATACTTTTCGGAAAAAGGGCATCAATGGACTCAGAAAAGAAAACCGCACCATATGAGCCATGAGCCCATACACTTTTCCAAAATTCGTTTTTTTAACAACCCTACCCCACAGGGACTGCTTATCTTGGTGTGTGAAAATTTGGGAATGTCGAAAAGCAGTCAATTTACGATAGACTTCGGCATACATATTGTAAATCAAAATGCATTGTCATCCGTTTGTCGACCTTGAAAAAAATGTTTGCAGTTAACTTCCCTTGAAGTTCTTTAAAGGGAGATAATGAGCTTTCTTTTTTCTTAAATAAAAATTACTCGACATCTATACTATTTCTTCTGTAGTTTCTATAAAATATGAAAATTTCCTGGCACATTTTCGTATGTGAAAAAGGTTTTTATTTTTGCAAAAAAGAAGCAGTACTTGCAGTACTTGTAACACCCACCGAAATGCGTTGTCCTTCTCTATAAAAAAGTCGCAGTATATGACGCTTTTGTTTCAAACAGCGACGCTTGGGTTTTTGTTTATGTTATCGCCTTGTCGTTGCTTGGTTGTAAGGATTTTAATTTGAATTAGAGTTAATTCGGTTTAGAATTAATTAGATTCTAATTCGGGGGTACATAGTGCCTGTTTACATTATTTTGCGCCACAAATGAACGGCATGCGCCAGAAACGCAGCCAAATTTTGCGATTGCGACTACGAAATTCATTTTTTTTGGCGTCAGAGCCTGAAGCGAAAAATACAAGCATATTTATTTCAAAAAGACTTCAGGTTTGTCGAACGGTGTTATGAGAATTTTGATAACAGTACTGCATAAGTTTTTCAGTGATGCCGCAAAAGTGTTGTATCTATCTTCTTTTATTGTGCAGTCGGCGGGACCGATTCAAAATTGAGTCGTTGCTACTAAAATAGCAGCATATGGCGTCAGATGATGAACAGGAAAAATAGTTGCGTAAATTTAGACATAAACCACCCCCAAACCATGAATATCTTTTGAAGGCACTATAGACGACCATTAACTAACTAGATGTGATGAAGATCAAATGTAAGGAATACGCTCATTTTATAAAATTACATGCAAGTACCAAAAAGTGATGTAAGTACATACTTATTCAACGGTCATTTTCAGCGCTCCCCGCTAACTTGACTTCAAGTTGAGATATTTGCGGCAAGGTACCGAATTGAGCAAAATGGTTTTAATTTACATTATAACTTGTTGTGTTTTGTCAGAAAATGGTCCTAACTCAGATTTTGTGGAAAAAGGTCATTATCTCCCTTTAACATTATGAACATGAGATATTAAGCCGCGCCCTGCTGGAGGACCCCTTTCCCCAGTGATTTTTCGCGAGTATCTAAAAAATGCGTTTTTGGCACACTTTATCATGGCATACAGTTTCATTACTTGACCTTATCCTCAAATTTAGTGTACAAAGTTTTCATCGGAAGTATTTTAAATTAACAAGAAATGAATAACACTGATATATTTCGAGCACTGCTCTTCGTCGGTCTTTCATTACAAGGTAGGTAATAATGATCACACCAAAATACACAGAATGCACAACTCGTCTCAAATCTATATTACCATTTGAGGAGGGTGCGTCTGTCCGTTACCGAGGTCCCGACTTGGTGGTGCTTTGCGTGGACTACAGGCCAGACCGTTGCACCTAGCCCGGTGAAATTTGTACAACTTATAGATCAAAGATGCGCGACGTGCCTTTGAG